CAAACTAAATTAATTAAATAAAGCATTCAAAACGATTCACTCTGAAAGTTTCTCCGCACAGTTTCGCTGCTCATCTCTACTTTCAACTCGGAACTTTGAAGTGCCTAAATGTTACTGCCCCCCCCCCCCCCCTCCCTCCTCCCCCTCCCCTTACCACACTCTCCCCCAAAAAAAAGAGAGAGAAAGAAAGACATTCTATATGTATTAAATTTGCCATTGCCTGACGTCATTCTGGGCGTCTGCTGCCTAATTGCTACCTGCACAGAGGTTCCTCCAGCTGCCGCACACCTTGACTACCCCTCGCACCATACCGACACCCCCCCCCCCCCCTCTTTCCACACCTGCGCGTGCTGCTGCCGCTTGGGTGTTCGTCGTAATTTGCGCACTCAATGGAAAATTGTTAATTAGATTCCTTGCTTGCCGTTCGACTTTGTCTTCTTTACCACGTCGTCGTCGTCGTCGTCGTCGTCGGCCATTGTTGTGTTGTCCCCACTTCACTACACCCCCCCCCCCGTCTATCCCTCCACTCCTCCCGCTTCTGGCTTGAGCCCTTTGCCAGATCTGGTGCCGCGTACTCTGGAGCATGCCCCTCGGCTGAAGCGTTTTAGCCGTAGCTTTGTGTCAAAGTTGGTTAACGTGATTGCTGTTGGCCCTTTGCCTCGTCGCTGGGCTGGGCTGGGCTGGGCTGGGCTTGGCTGGGCTGGGCTCCGTGCATCGAGCTTGTCGCCCCGCAACTAGCAATTGTTTTAAGCCACCTTTCCGCTTCAACGACTCAGCGAACCCAGCGAACTTTAAGTGCAAAGCGTTTTACACAGGAGAAGAGCACAATTTTTGCACTAAACTTTTTGCTCTTTCACTTTTTACCAACTGTGGCAAGTGGATATTCGTGTGTGTGTGTGTGTGTGTGTGTTTGTGTGTGTGTGTGTGGGTGTGTTTGTGGTGCCGTGTGCGCTCAGTTTTTGGTTTAGTGAAATCTTGCAACGGTAACGAGTGCAGGAAATAATACGGATGCGGCAAGCACAACCGAGCAGTGAAACATCTGAACATCCGGACATAGAACGCAAGCCGCAGGCCACAGTCGGCGACGAGCGATTGAGCAGTGTGGGAAAAAGGGTGAGGGGGGGCGGGGGGCGGAAGTAGCTCAAATAAAGATTGTGTTAGACAACGATTAAATAAAGCTACGAGCATTAATTGAACGCGACAGAGGCAATTGATTTATCAGCCTCTTCAGTTGCTCAATTTAATCAACAACAAAAAAGAACTCATTCAATTCCCAGTCAAATGCTTTGTGTGCAAGCTGCAAGTAAAGTGAAACGTTTACGAATACCGCACAAAGTGAAATCGGCAAATTAAGAGCTGCAGGCTCGCGACAGAGCAGGTTTGTCTCTGTACTAAACAAACAACTGAAAGTTAATATTATTTAATAGTTGAATACTAGACACAAATTAAAAAAAAAACAAGTAAGAGGTTCTAGTCGGGAGCTCCCGACTAGAGGATACCCTAAGCCCTCTTCTTCCGACAGGCGATAGGTATAAAATGTAATGTAAAATGTAAAGTTTATTTGCCGAAATTGCTCAAAAAACAGGATTTCGATATAGATTTTTATCGATTACTTGGCAACGGGGAAAGTTATCGATTATCGGAAACAAACTCGATCTGCGCATGGACTAGGAGGGCCTACAGCTAAAATTCAAGTCTCTAGCTCTTATAGGCTCTGAGATATTTGCGTTCATACATACGGACAGACGGACGGACGGACAGATAGACGGACATGGCTAAATCGACTCTGATGCTGATCAAGAATATATATACTTTACGGGGTCGGAGTTGCTTCCTTCTGCCTGTTACATACATTTGCACAAATACATTATACCCTTTTTACCCATTTTTAATGGGCTCAGGGTATAAATAGGGAAAATCTTTAAAATTCCAATGCTGATTTGTAATTGAGCCTGCGAATAAAAGCCGCAAATTAAAAATTGAATTATGACGTGAGCTCTTTGTACATACATGAGAATATAAGTGCTGTGTAAAAAATGTGGGTTCAAAATTGTGATAAATTGGGTTTAGGAGCCGCGCCTGAAATGGAGCCGTAAGCTGAACCATCAGAAATAATTTGTCATTTTTATTTTAGTGTTTTTTTCTTCGAAAAGTTCATTAGAGAAATGCGTGAAAAACTGAAATACCATATATATATTAATATGAATACTCGTACTCGTTTTGATAGAATTCCATGAATACTCTTTGTACTCGGTTGCTTATGAATGGATATTGTGAGTATTTATTATGCTATTATTATTATATATTTCTTTATATACTAAAAACTTTCATAACGCACACTCCAATTAGCCGGACAGCCCGCTTGAGCGGACATTTCTCTCAAATCATTACAAATCAGGCCATTGCCACTCCCTCTCTATTAAGCGGACACTACTCTCGAGCGTATATATTTATTGTTATTAAGGAAGAAGCTCAGTGTATATTAATTGGTTCTACAGGTGGACAACCAAAAAAAGAAATAAATAAAAATTGTCACAGCTCTGCATACCCCCCACCACCCCATCACCCCCCCCCCCCTTCCAGGACGCTTAAAAACAATTCAAGGATTCACTCAACTGGTGCGATGCGAAATGCGATTGGTTCCACATGTGCTGTGTGTGTTTTGTGTGTGTGTGTGTGAGTGTGTGTTTGTTTCAATTAGGCGCAGCAGCCGCGGGGCGCCAGGTCTGCAGATGCATTCGCCATGGCCAGCAAATAAAACTTAGACACGCTCCATGGCAATGGCGAGGTGAAGCGGCAGTGGTGGGCGTTGTGGGCGTGGTGGGCTGCGATGGGACGGGGGCTGGGATGGTGGAGGCAAGGGTTAAGTCCTGGCAGCACAGCCAAAGCCAGCCTGTCGCGGCAAGCAAAGGCAAAAGCAGAAAAGAAATGGGGGAAAAAAATGCCAATTAAAATCTTAGCCGGGACAAGTGCATCATCAGGCAGACAAGACAAGGCATGGCAGTGGCGGCAGGCGAGGGGTAAGGGGCGACGGCAGGCGGTACAAAACGGATTGGAATGGAATGGAATGGAATGGAATGGACTGCAGCCTTGGCCAGCCCTGGTTGGCACGGGTTGGGCGGATTGCGCGGCACGACTCGAGTCGAGGGAAATTGCCCCACTTGACGCCTTTGTGTGGAGCTCGTGTTGCTATCGCAAATGGCTCAAAAGTGGCTTCTTTTCTTTATTGTTGCTGTTGCTGCTGCTGTTGCTGGTGCTGCAAGTGAAGAATGCAAGCGTCGAGTGGCTGCTACTAAAATACTTAAGCAGCGCACTTGAGGCCTTCATAAAAACAGAATAGCCAAGAATGTGCTGCCAAGTGGCCAAGTTCGTGCTATCCAGAGATTAGAGATTAGAGCCAAGTGCGAGCTCAACAAAAAGGCAATTAACTAGGCTCCGCCAACAACAACAGCAACAACAACAACAACAACCACCTGAACTGGCTCCAAGCTCAACTAGTTCAGCTCATCTAGTTCTAGTTCCGACGGAACCAAGTTAAGCTGCAAGCTTGGAGTTAAATATGTTCATTGAACCGAAATCTTAAACCGAATGGGATTTTGATAAAGAACAATCAAAACTGAAACTGAACTAAAAATGGTTTATTCTTAAAACAATATATTGGCTTCATTGCTTTACAATCTCTTTTTCAGTTTTTAATTTCACAAACTAGCTTCTTTGGCTTCTCTCTTGACTATCGACAGACTTATCATAATATCGATTGTTAGCTTGGGTATTCCCACAAATAACAATGCACTTATTGCATACTGCTATATTATAATATATATAATATGATATATAAAAGGAGACACTTTCGACCCCTTAAAATATATGTATATATTCTAGATCATGTCATCATGATATGGCCATGTCCATGTCTATCCATCCGTCCGTCCGCCCTCCGCCTGATCGTCTGTCCAATGCGAACTTGTCCCTCAGTTTTTAAGCTTTGGTCTTGAGCCAAATCTTGTCAAGATCGCACTACTATATTATATAGCTCTATAGGAAGAATCAGTCGAAAAAATGCTGTAAGACAAAACATTCTGTTTTTTCGTGATATTTTCAAGGGTATTTAATCTTCGGCGTGCCGAAGATAACCTTCCTTTCCTGATAGTCATTTTTATATTCGCAGTTCCTTCAAATTGAATTAGTTCCTTTTATTTTTCATATATGAACTCTTTGCTGTTACGGCTGTTAGGGCAAACAATTCAATTTATGCTCTCTGCACTACCCCTGCTCTACCCCTTGCCATCAAACGCTGCCCACACGCCCCGCAACTAGCGCAAGCGCAAGCGTTCCAATTGGGTTTTTTGGTGGGTTTCTTATTGGACAAGTTTATGTGCGCCTCGCACTTATTTCGCTTTTGTTTTTTGTTTTTCGGGCATGTGTGTGGCAAAAGGGTTAAAGCACACACACACACACACACACACGCGCACACACAGTGACAGACACATGTCCTCGGGTTGAGGATGTGTGAGATGTATGTGCGTGTAAATTGCGTATAAAAGCGTATGTTGAAAATATTTATTGCCCGTTGCGAATGCAACAAAATGGAAATGAAAATTTCATTAGTTGACTTTTGCCTCACACACTGACACACATACACACACACACACACACATGTGCTTCTTTTATGTTTTTTGCTCGCTTGTTTTAAGCTAAATTGTTTATTTTATTAGCAATTTGGAGAATTTATGAGTTGAGCAAGGACCTGCTCCGGCAACCCGCCCGGCAAGCAACCAATTCGAAATGAAGCTCTGGAATGCCCATTAATTAGCGTGCAGCTGAGAGAGGAAGAGAGCAAAAGAGAGAGAGCGAGCGAGAGAGTTGCTGCTGCCCTCTGTTGGTCAAAGCGCAAAGGGCAGCCTGGCTAAGCTTGCAAGGATTGCATCCGATCCAGCTCATTGCCTACCTTTAGGCGATGCTTTTTATTTCTAAAGGGTATTTGGAGTACACGCGCTTACCAGGTAAACATGTTCCGGTGCCGCTGAAGTTCTTCAGTTGTGGAAATCCTGCAAAAAAGAAGAACAGCAGAAAACGAGGTTAGGAACAGCTACGAAAATACGTGATTGGTGAGATTGAAGCAGAAGGCAAAAGAAGTAAAGCTAAGCGATGATTATCAATAGCTGTTATCGATAGTTGTTATATATTTACTTGTAGTGCTATCAATAACTGTTATCGATTGTTATCGATGCCATTACCAATATATGTAACTGGGAAACAAATGTAAATCTTATCGATGGCTAAAAATAGCCGATATCTATAGTTCCTAAATAGTTTTGCTAAAGATATACATTTAGTACGATTATTATTTGAAGTAGAACACGATGTTAGAGGAGTAAACATTATCGATGACTATCTGTAGCTGTTATCTATTGCAATTGATACTTTTACCGATATATGTTACTATAGTCATATTGACAATGAAATCTAATCTAATCGATGGTCAAGAAGAGATCATGCTCTCTGATATTTTACCTATAAATGATGTAAAGAAGCGGTTAAGGCAAATTTATCGATGGTTATCGATAGCTGCTATCGGTAGTCATTGATTGTTGCTATCGATATACGTAATTAAAGTCATTTGTCAAATCAATGGCGGCTATCGATAGTTTTTACTAGTTTTTGTGATTGATATACTTGAGGTGCGACTGTTATTAACATTATGAAAGGAGGCAGCAGAAGTAAAAGGGGCCGAGGTCTATTGCTAGCTTTTATCGAAAGTTATTGATTGATGTTATCGATAAAAGAAGTAAAGTGATTGCCTGTTATCAATAGTTGTTATCGATCTTACTGCTTGATTTTAGTTATCGATTTACCTAAAGTGCCATTGGCTTTCAAATTATGACAAGATATATGCCATCGATATTTGTATTTGATTTTTATTTCGAGTCGATATACATTTAGTTTTATTGATATTGAAATCTGGACGAGAAGAGAGGTAAGGGGCATTGGCATTTATCAATAGTTGTTATCGATATATATTACTTATGTGTATATGTTATATATATATTACTGATGTATGTGTTTTCTTGACAAATATTCTCTCGCAAGTACATGCAATTGAAGCTTCACTGTGCTACACACACACACACACACAATGTTTGCTCATTAGTTGCCGCATTTATTAGCCTAACAAAAGCTCTCTAGCAATACGACCTGACCCTGACCGCGCATCTTCTTGCCCCTCTGCCAGCTTGCCCCAGCCGCAGCCTCTGCCTGCTGCAGCCGTGGCAAGCGTCGCAAATGCAAATCATCGAGTGGCTCAGCTTCTCTCCGAACGCTGTGCTGTCCAAGTTGGAGGGTCGGCGGGTCGTCGGGTCGGTTCCTCGGAGTGACATATCAAAGCAAAATCAAATTTGACAGACAACCCCGCTAATTTCTGCTCGATGTTTCATTGTTTTAAGGCGTTCGAAATGCCTCGCTTTAAAGGGGTTGCGACGCGCACAATCGGACAAGCGGCAGAGGCTGCGTTGGTGCGCTGTCAAAGGGGGGTGGATTTAATAAATGGTAGGGAAGGGGGGATTGGCGTTGGTAGGGGCCACAATTGTTGGCACTTGCTGACGCATTGCGCAAAATGCTGCGAGCACAATAAGAGCTCAACTCGTGCGACACACATGTGTGTGTGTGTGTGTGTGTGTGTGAGTATGTGTGTAGGCTTACCCACTACACCAGCAGCCCGCTACTGCCCCCCCCCCCCCCCTTGACACGCCCCTGCTGACGGCATGCGATGAGAGCGGAGAACGGAGGACGTCAACAATGCGCACACATCAAACTGGGAACTACATTTATTAGCTTTCGTCTTGTTATCAGGCCCCTAAGCCCCCCCCCCCCTTAGCCCCTAGGCCCTTCTGCCACCCTTTGGTTACCCCTCCTGGCTGGCCCATGGACTACTCTGCTCTGCTATGGCTTGTCAACGGCAATCAACAGCCGCTGCTGATTTACCAAGAATTTTGAAATCGTGAAATTCGATATTGCGCGAAATTTCTATAAGGAATTGTGAGTACTTCTGAGTGAGTGTATGTGTGTGTGTGTGTTGGTATGTTGGTGTGAGTGTGAATACAACAACAGCTGAATCTGTAAACGGGGAAACGCACAGCTCTATAGAAATGCAAGTGACGAAGTATTTATAAACTGATTAAAGCTAAACAAAAGCTGATATGGGTCGACACGAACCGCAACGAATCGTCGCTGTTTGCCGCACCGCGCCGCACGCCCCTTGGTTGCCACACCCCCTGCAAGCTGAAGCTCTGGCGAATTTTATAGCTAAACGTGCAACACACGCACACACATTTCTAATCGCGACCACACAAAGCGTGGCACCAACAGACGTCGCGTCGTGAGCTCTCGCTAAAGCGCCAATGACCGCGGGTCATGCAAAGTAGCCACAAACAACAACAAATTATGTGTGTGTGTGTGTGTGTTTGGGTGTGTGAGTGTGTGTGTGTGTGCGGCGGTACAAGTGAATGGCAGCTGGCAGTAGGTACAAGTTTCGAGTACTCGCACTTGAATGCATTCATCCCATCAAGCAGTCAGCAATCGCAATGAGTCATGACTATTGCCCATGTTTGCGTTTCGTTCGAATCATTCGAATGGTTGCGCTTATTTATTGAATACATTCATTAAAATCGAACTCGGCTTCTTATTGCAATGAATACAATGTGAATACGCTCATATTCGGTCTTGTTTGCCATCGATACTATTGATTATTTCTCATCTTGCCGAAATTCGTTTTTGAATCATTCGAATAGTTGCGCATATTTAGTGAATACATTCATTTAACTCACATGACTATACTGTGAATAAACTCATTTGGGTGTTATGCACAATATATCGTTTAAAAACCGTTTTGAATGTGCAATGAATATTGTGAATGCACTCATAAATACTTGATTCTCTGCATTTTGACAAACACACAAGTGTGAGCTTCAATTGAGCCAAATTTTAACAAAATATTCATCATTTAAACTGTGATCTGAATCAAATGAATGCATTCACTTAGCTTATGTTAAGCATTAAATAATTCGGTTGTAAATTTGTGCTCTGATTACGAGATGTAATGACAAATAGATATTTTTCAGTGAATAAGTATAACTATATTCAAATCTAATGCCCTAAGTAAGTGTGCCATTTGAGTGTATTCACGCTTGAATAAAATCGCATGTGACAACAACAACTTTTGCAGACAATTATCTTAGTAATAATTAAGTTGCAAAAGAAACTGAATGAAAAATAACTGAACGCTTGCGAACGAATGTTGAATCAAGTGAATACACTCACACTTATTCACATTTGCTGTAACCCAACAAATCGAACAGGTCTGCAGCTGTTTGCTCAATGTGCTCAAATCGCTGAGTGGCCACACTTCAAATGGTTATTTGTTGATGAATACCCACATGAATCTATGAATCTATGAATCTGAATGAATATGCGCTGCATAATTAGCAGTCATCGACGGCGAGCAGTGAAAGCAGCTAAAAATAGCCGAAAAAATAACAAAATAAAATAAATTAAAACAAATGAATAAATAAACAAGAAATGGGGGCTATCCGAGAAACTACGAAAATCATATACCCTTATAGACAGTAGATAAATGATATAGTAGATCGATTCGATACAGTCTTTCTGAGTATATATACTAACTAATTAATTCACTTTTTTTTATATATAAAAAAGTTATTTCAAAAACCTTCCCATTATATTCTTAGCAGACTTTGCTATCGCATCTAGGATTGAAAATGGGATGCTTTAACCTGTTGAGAATTGCAAGCGGAAAGTTACGGAAGAAAAAGAATCCAATCAAACCAGTTCCATTCCATCTCTTAACCGATCATCCCTCCATAATATATATAATTTTTGTTATTGCAGACGTCTTCTTCTTATCTTTACACTTTAAGTGACAGAATTATAATACCCACTCTTAGAGTGTATAATAATATCAAATGCTGAAGAAAAAAAAAAAACAAAAGTTATTCATTCGATTCACGACGATTCAAATCGAGCCGCTGAAGAAGCGAAGCAGCCAAAAAAAAGAGCTTCACAATGAGGCTCAAGTGGCAAATCGTGTTTATTTGCGCTATTAAATTGGCGCAGCGTTAAGCTCGAGCTGTCTGCAGATGTATCTGTATCTGTATCTGTATCTGTATCTGTATCTGTATCTGTATCTGTATCTGTATCTGTATCTGTATCTGTATCTGTATCTGTATCTGTATCTGTATCTGTATCTGTATCTGTATCTGTATCTGTATCTGTATCTGTATCTGTATCTGTATCTGTATCTGTATCTGTATCTGTATCTGTATCTGTATCTGTATCTGTATCTGTATCTGTATCTGTATCTGTATCTGTATCTGTATCTGTATCTGTATCTGTATCTGTATCTGTATCTGTATCTGTATCTGTATCTGTATCTGTATCTGTATCTGTATCTGTATCTGTATCTGTATCTGTATCTGTATCTGTATCTGTATCTGTATCTGTATCTGTATCTGTATCTGTATCTGTATCTGTATCTGTATCTGTATCTGTATCTGTATCTGTATCTGTATCTGTATCTGTATCTGTATCTGTATCTGTATCTGTATCTGTATCTGTATCTGTATCTGTATCTGTATCTGTATCTGTATCTGTATCTGTATCTGTATCTGTATCTGTATCTGTATCTGTATCTGTATCTGTATCTGTATCTGTATCTGTATCTGTATCTGTATCTGTATCTGTATCTGTATCTGTATCTGTATCTGTATCTGTATCTGTATCTGTATCTGTATCTGTATCTGTATCTGTATCTGTATCTGTATCTGTATCTGTATCTGTATCTGTATCTGTATCTGTATCTGTATCTGTATCTGTATCTGTATCTGTATCTGTATCTGTATCTGTATCTGTATCTGTATCTGTATCTGTATCTGTATCTGTATCTGTATCTGTATCTGTATCTGTATCTGTATCTGTATCTGTATCTGTATCTGTATCTGTATCTGTATCTGTATCTGTATCTGTATCTATCTGT